GGCAGCAGCAGCAGCAAGGAGAGAAGCGCGCGAAGCACCGCCATTCTTGCAGACGAAATGCTGCTGCTGCAGCAGCAGCAGCAGCAGCAGCAGCAGCAGCAGCAGCAGCAGCAGCGGCTCAGAGTCTTCTCGGAGCAGAAGCAGCTCCGCCAGTTGCTGTCGCACGGGCTGCTGCTGCTCGCGCAGCCACGAGCATCGGGCGCGATCCGCAGCCAACAGCTGCTGCTGCTGCTGCTGCTGCTGCTGCTGCTGCTGCTGGGGAGGGTCCGAGGGCGCGGGAGGGAGGAGACGCAAATCGAAGCAAAGGGACCCTTCGCTTCCAATGGAGACCCCTTCCTTCTTCAATTTGCTGCTGCTGCTGCTGCTGCTGCTGCTGCTGCTGCTGCTCCCGAGAAGATCGCCCGAAGAGCCCTGCTTCCGAGAACTTCCTGCTGCTGCTGCTGCTGCTGCTGCAGCTCTGAGAAACACAAATGCAGCGCGAGGCCCAGCAAGCAGCAGCAAAAAAGGCGCCGACTGTCTCGAGAACCGACGCTGCCAGCTCACGAAGCTGCTGCTGCTGCTGCTGCTGCTGCTGCTGCTGCTGCGGTTCTTGCTGCTGCTCCCTCCCTAGCTCGAGCCCGAAGCAACAATTCAACTCAAAGAAACGAAAAAAGAAAAACCAACAAAGCAAAGCAATTCCCACTGTCTGTACGCCTCACGCCAAACAGTCTCGCCGCCCGCTGCTGCTGCTGCTGCTGCTGCTGCTGCTGCTGCTGCTGGTCAACAAGTGGAGAGCCGATCGTCGCAGCTGCTGCTGCGCGGACGGCCCCAGCCGCTCGCTCCTTCGCCCGAATTTCCCTTTTTTTCCAATTTTATTTAATTAAATACATTTAATTTCCCCAATTAATGCAAACTGCACGAAAAAGAAAAACTTTGCCCGCAAAAAGCTCCCGAGAAATGCCCCCGGCGCCCCGGATCTCGGCGATGGACTCCACCCCGAGCTCCCGCCTCGCTTCCCGGACTTCCCCGCTGCTTCCGCCTCTGCAAATGCAATTAAAACTCTTTTTCCAGTTTTAATTCCAAACAAATCCCAAAACAAACCTTAAAAGCGGCCAAAACTTGCAACTCAAACCCCCAACTCCGCAGCCACCCGGCCCGCGGCTCCCGCTCACACCCCCTGGCGCCGCGGCGCTGTGCATGCCGCTCAAACTCCCTAAACCCCCGTTTTAATCTCTAAAATGCCGCATTTTATTCTTTTATTTCCCAAATTAATTCCAATTAACAATTCCCAAAAACTCTGCAGCGAAGATCTCCGCGCGGCCGCCGCCGCAGCGGTCTAGCCGCTGCAGCCTCTCGGGTGTACGTACACCGCAGCGAGCAGTACGCCTCCTTCAGACCAAGTTGCAACGGCGTTTCGCTGAGAGGCTTTTGGACTTAATTGAGCTTTTTAGACCTTTAATATCCATTTAATATCATTTAATATCATTTAATATCCATTTAATATCCATTTTATTCAATTTAGGCTTCAAATTTGCCTGCTGCGACCGGCCGATTGCCCGCACTCGACTCGAGACCCTAAACCCTAAACCCTAAACCCTAAACCCTAGGCCTCAACAGCCCCTCGGCTAAACGGCATTAAGCCCGCCAATTCGAGTCGCTTTAAAAATAAAACCATGTGTCGCTCCAGGCGACGCCTCACCGCTCCTGCTGCTGCTGCTGCTGCTGCTGCTGCTGCTGCTGCTGCTGCTGTTGCTGCTGCTGTTACTGACACACCCGCTGCAGCTGGGCTTCCTGCTGCTGCTGCTGCTGCTGTTCACGCTCTCGCGGGTTCAGCAGCCGCTGCTGCTCCAGCTCTCGATCGCGCAGCGGCGTGACCCGCTGCTGCTGCTGCTGCTGCTGCTGCTGCTGCTGCTGCTGCAGCAAGTCTTGGAGAGTGTGCTGCAGCATTTGAACTCTTGCTGCTTGGTTTGCTGCTCTCCACTTTCTCCGGGAAACTGCCAAGACACTCGAGAAGCCCAAGTGCTTCAGGTGTACAGACAGCAGCAAAGAGCCGCCGCACAGCGCGCTGCTGTTCCGCGCGCACTCGTCTGTCACCAGCAGCGCTGCAGCAGCAAATAGAAGAATTAATTTAATTTAATTTAATTTAATTTAATTTAATTTAATTTAATTTATTTAATTTGATTTCATTGTAATTAAATAAATGCAAAAAGAGCACAAGGGGGAAGGAAGCGGGCTGTTCGCGAACGATCCAGGAAGAGAGAGCAGCAACAGCTGCAGCAGCAGCAGAAGCAGCAGCAGCTGCAGCAGCTGCTGCAGCAGCAACAGCTGCAGCAACGGCAGCAGCGCGAGAAGCATCATCACCATCAGCACCATCACCATCACCA